GGCGCGCCACTGCACACTGCGGCTGGTTTGTCAGTTAAGCGATGATTTAGACGTGATAATTAAAGGTCTTGTTCAAATTTTTCGATTATTTACTAATCTATAAAAATCATTCGACCATTTGCAAACCGCGCTCGAGTTTTTAGAAATATAGACAGAAAAAATCACCAACCTCATTTTTTATTATTTTCTAAGCAAAACTATCATGAAGTAAATTTGCGTAAATTAAATATATAATTAAAAGAAATCCCATATAATGTTGGCACTGTTACATTTTGTAAATGATATGTATGTTACAAAGCAAGGTACAAAGCCAGAAATATTTACTTTTGCACGATTTGGTAAAAATATCCCGAAACTGATCTGTCACAAACTTTATGAACATCCTGTATTATATTTAATGGTACTATTTTAAAATTATATCATTTGAATTACAAGGATATAAAACCACTAGACCATGAGGCTACGTAAAAATTAACAGAATAATTACTACAATGATCTTTTAGTAAATGCCATAATTAATATTGAAAAATCAACAATTTCATCTACAACTGATTAACCTGAAATTGACGATTTAAAAAACCAGCCGATCCTATTATGTATTTTAATTGTATAATAAACGTTTTATTATTATTGTAAATAAATGTTTTAATAATAGGCAATTTAGAAAGTCTATTAAAACATTAAATGAATGTAGTAATAACACAAATATTTTCTGGTATAGGCAATTCAATTTCTTATCTAACATTATAATATTATAATACATTCTTTCAAAAAAAATTTAAACCAAAATAATTAAAAATATTCCCAATCTCCCCCACATAGACAAATGTAGTCACAGGATAATTTAAGTAATCCGATATTGATAACCAATAAAAGGACCATTTAAGGGATTATTTTTGACCATTAGAGATTTTGTGGGGAAAATACGTTATTTAGCAGGCAATAAAATGTTAAGCTCATAATTTAAAATAAACAAGATGTTATGACATTTATATTGGTTATTTAATAACAAGTTTTTTTTTTTTAATATATATATATATATATATATATATATATATATATATAAACAGGTGCTGATTTTAATTAAACTAGTGTCAATTATTTAAATAATACTTTTATAAAAAATACCGTGATTCATTTTAATCTATTAGTATACAGTTCGATAATTTATTAATTTCCCCTTCCATTTTTGACTCATAAAGTTTTTAAATTAAGTGATTCTACCAAATTTTAGTTGATTAATACCGTGTGGTACAAAGAATCTAGTAGGGTCAACTCAGGTGAATGTGGCGATCCCTTTTCATTCAGATTAAATTAATTTTCGTCACTTTCAAAAGCCCTTTTAAAATTGTTTTTTTTTGTATATTTTCGATTAAATATTTCTAAAAAGCCGAGCGCAGTTTGCAAATGCTTGAATGATTTTTATAGATTAGTAAATAATCGAAAAATTTGATCAAGACCTTTAATTATCACGTCTAAATCATCGCTTAACTGACAAACCAGCCGCAGTGTGCAGTGGCGCGCCTTCAATTATATCAAGAGGATGATGTTCTGAAAAATGCAATAAAAACCAGTATTTTAATTGAACGAAAAGCAATTTTTGTTTAATATAAAGACAACAAAAAATTATCAAAAATATAAAATCTTATAGGCAAGAATTTGTACACTAGTGATCTCTTTCTAATTTCGTCAATAAAGCATAAAAAGAATTTTTACAGACAACAATTTGAAAATGCAAAATACAAAATAGTTAACAAATTGAAAAAAGAGAAAGATTTAAATCAATTATCAAACGTATTTTACCTTTTACTAAACGAATTAAATCAAAAATACTTTTCTCCATAAAACTATTTAGGTAAATCATAAATCTTTTTAAGATTTAAGTATTATTGGATATTTAAATCACATTGTAAATGATTTAAATACTTTTTATTATTTAAATAAATAGAGTGTGATCTGTAGGCTGGCTCATGAGCTAGGAAGTGCCTATCGGCTCAGGAGGATGCACAATGGGCCTAATGAGGCCTAAGTGCTGTGGGGGTAACTCACCCTCCACACATTACAGATACAGATTAGTAGAGAGTGATTTAAGTGATAAAAATCGATAATATAATTTTTTTTATACAAAAGTTCTTTCAATAAAATTAAGCTCATTCAATAAACTGAATCACTGTAATAAGAAAAAAATCAAATTATAAAATATTTTCTATTTTTTTTTCTGTTTTATAATTCTATTACAGAGAAATACATTAAATATATAAAAGAAAACAAAAATTGAAGAAAAATTAAATTTTTTATAAAATAACGAAAAAAAATCAAATAAATTTACCACATTTTTAATCTTGTTAGCTATTAATAACACAAGGTTTTCGAAGTTGTTATCAGTCAAAACATTTTTCCACATGAACAGAAAATAGTAATAATTGTATTTAAAAAAACCGTTTTTATCATACTTTGCTATTTTAAAAATGATTTAATTAATTTAAAATGATTTAAATAGAATATATTTTTGGACTTGTTTTGGTCTATCTAGCTTTTTTTTTTATTTTATAATGAATTTCTGTTATTTTAAACCTATTTAGCATCATTTTTTAAAACTTGAAATTTAAAACGTTTGCTTTCCGTAATTCAACCAGTTTTTGAGATTTTTTAAAATATAATATACTGGGTGTCCCGAAGTTTGACAGTCATATTTTAACAGCGTAATCTACATCCTAAAATAAAAATAAAAGTTCATATAAACATAGGTTCGAAAACGTTTCGTTTTCGAGATACAGGGTGTTACAAGTGAAGTCCTGATGGCACATTTTTGTAAATATTTTCTAAAATTTCTTTAGTCACCAGTTTTCCAAAGTAAAAAAAATTAAATTTCTGATTTCACAGGCCTACTAATTATTGTTTACACTTTTGAATAACATAACATCAACTCATCATGAAATTTTCAAATGCTTTTTTCTTGAAAATGGTGCGTCCTAGCGAGATGCAACAAAAGTAGCTTTATTATAAATAAAATATTGGTTTTCCAAATTTTTTAGTCAAAAATGTTAAAAACTGTCAACAGAAAAAACTTTACCCTAAGCCCCCCCTAATTTACCCACCTATGAAGATGATCAAAAACTGGGGTTTAATCCATTAAATAGAGCGTAAAAAGGTAAGCATTTGTACCAAATTTTACTTAGTTATCTTTAAACAATCTTAAAAAATATTTACAATAGAGTGTCATCTAGACTTCACTTTTAACACCCTGTATCTTTTAAAAGAAACGTTTTCGGACCTATGTTTATATGATCTTTTACTCTTATTTTACTCTAATTTCGGGACACCCTGTATTTTTGGACTTGTTTTGGTCTACCTAGCCTTTTCATCTATTTTATAATGATTTTCTGTTATTTTAAACCTATTTAGCGTCATTTCTTTAAACTTGAGATTCAAAATAAATGTTTTTTTCCTTAATTCAACTAGTTTTTGAGATTTTTCCAAATTAAAAATATTTTTGGACTAGTTTTGGTCTATCTAGCTTTTTTATCTATTATAATGAATTTCTGTTATTTTAAACCAATTTAAAAAGTTTTTTAAGGAAATCAAAAATACTTTTTAAAAAGATAAATAATTAATAAAAAATTAATACTATAAAAAATATTTAAAATCAAAAAATTTAAATGTAAAATATTTAAATCACGAAAAGGATGCAAATTGATAAAAGTTGCATAACAAAACATTCTTTTCACAAGAGCAGAAAATAGTAAAGTGCAACTTATCCTAAACAAATTTTTTTATCATAATTCAATAAAAATGATTTAAATCATCAAAAATTATTTAAATCTTTAAAAGTAATTTTGAAAATTATTGAGTCGTGTTTTTTTTTTAAGAAAATCAAAGATACTTTCTACAAAGCTAAACATACATACAAAATGAAGAGTAAGGATTTTCTCATGGACTTAATTATTATATTTTAACCAAATTTATATAGGACCACCCCTGAGGTATCCCCTTACCAACAAAAAAAGAATCATATATATCGAACATAAAGAATTATCGCTAAACATACATACAAAATGAAGAGTTTAAAGATTTTCTCATGGACCCAATTATTATATTTTGACCAAATTTATATGAGACTACCCCTGAAGTACCCCCTTTCTAACAAAAAAAGAATCATATAAATCGAACAAGGTGGTAAAGAATTATCGCTAAACATACACGAAAAATGAAGAGTTTGAGGATTTTTTCATGCATCCAATTATTATATTTTGACCAAATTTATATGGAACCACCCCTGAAGTACCCCCTTTCTAACAAAATAAGAATCATTGAAAACGAACACCGTATTAAAGAATTATCGCTGAACATACATAAAAAAATATATACCGACGAATCGAGAACCTCCTCCTTTTTAAAATCGGTTAAAAATAGTGAGAAAAATATAAAAAATTAAGAAAGTTAAATAAAAAGTAGTCCCATCGCAAAAATAAAGCAAATTAATAAAAGTTTCATAAAGAAAACAATCTTTCCACAATATTAGAAGATGGTATAATGGCTTTGTATTTTAAAAACCTTTTTTTATCATCATACTATTATTAAATTGATTTAAATCGTCAAAAATGATTTAAATAGTTAAAGAGGATTTTTTTATTAAGAAAATCAATAATACATTCTAAAAAGATTTAAATAATAAATAAAAAATTATTTGTGGGAAAACTACTTAAATCAAAAGATTTATATCTATACAATACTTACAATATTTAAATCTTCTTTTGTGTGACAGATCTTGTCTATTATTAGATAACAATGACGAAGTCATCATGAAAAAAAAATCTAGAACAACGGAGCTTCGGGGCTTTATCACCGTATCCCCCCCTTCGAGCACGCGTCTAAGCGTCAAAGCCATCATCAGATCTACCTGCTCTTTCGTCCTGTGTGATGCGATATTGTTACAATTAATCGCGGCCACCTCTGAAAAAACAATAAAAACAATAGCAGCAGGAGTGTTTAATACAACATCTTGATGATGGTCGATCATGTGAGGCTGGGCTTGATGCTTGTGATGTATGAACGATGTCCACTTCTACTGGTCTGTTCTGTAGGTACCCATAGCTATAGCTCTCGGTTAGTCTTAGTTAGACTGTTAACTAGATAACAGGTCTCTGCCAATATTTGGTTGTTGCCTACCGCGGGCACCCATGTTACGAGAAAATGACTTTATGTGGTATTCGGTGTGGTGTGAGAATGAAAATGGATTTTCGATATAGTGGGAAATTTAATTTTTGTAAGTGATTTTTTTTTTATTTATTTTTAATACCAAACCGATATATTAAATATTCAAAATAATTTACCCTCATTAATAATAATAAAGATTTTTATTTTTATAATTTATAGATACATTTCAATATAAGTTTCCATCATTAATTACCTACTTTAAATTTATTTCATCTATAATTAATGAAAAAAGCCGAAGATTAGCTGAATACGTCTACAGGTCCTAATTAACTATTTAGCTATTTATTAAATAGTTTTACCTCTAATATATATAAATTTACAATATTATTTTTATTTTGAATTATACTATGAAACTAAGCAATTTATACGGAAAAATCGTAAGATTATAAATATTTAATTAAGAAAAAACTTTATGTAATTTTTTAACTTTTTAATTTTCTTAGTTTATCTACACTGTTTCTTTTTTGATTCTTTTCTAAATTTTTTATTTTATATAAATTTTTCTACTTTTGATCAATGTCAGCTAATGAAATAATTTTTTTTTAATTTTGTAAGAAAGTTATACAACTTATTATCATTATACAGAGTGTTCCGTAGTGATGTTTTAATATTTTAATAATAATTTAACAGGGGGGCAATAACAATAATAATGTTTATTTTTTAAAAAATATTTTAAAATATACATTATAAACGTAGAAAGAGAAAATGTTCACCACTTGTTAAGTGTATAATAATTATTGTTTTTTTTTATTGATTCATTTTTCTACTTTCTAATAACATATAAAATAGTTAGGTTATTTTTTTATTATTATTGAAAACTCCATTAAAACTACAGGTTGCGCAGAAGTATTTGTGTTTACATTTTTACATGAGAAACCATTTCTTATATTCAGTGCATAAAATAAAGATTAATTTTTATAACACAAAAATAACTTAATATTTTAAAAACTATATTATAACGATTTTGTATACTTCATTTTAAATTTTTTTATTATTTTTTAAAACAGTATTTTTATTTTCAACAATACTATGAAACTGTAAGGAATTATATTTTATTTTAAATTATTATAATGATATTAGGGATTTCCAAATACTACAGTGCTCGACTTATATATTTCAAAAATCGTAAATATTTTTGAAAAAAAGTTTAGACAATCTAAATATTTGATAAAAAAAGAACACATTTTCTTACTACATATTGTTACTATTAGATTTTTTAATTTTTTTTATTTTGTTCATTTTAATTTTTCTATTTTTGGTCATATCAATTAATGGAATAAATATAATTTTTACTTTGACTTGTATATGAATTATCGTTATACAGGGTGTTTCTTAAAGATATTAGAATATTTATGAATAGGAATCTATGTTTAGTTACGAAAATACAGGGTGCTAAAATTTTAGGAAAAAAAAAAGAAAATTTATTAATATTTTCGAAACCGCTTGAGGTGTTTTAGTGTTATTTAGCACACAGTGAGAGTAAATAATGATCCATATTTTTTAATCTGCAGTTTTTTAATTTCTACGGTGGCGTGTGTACGGGCACAGATTTCAACATTTTTAAAAAAAATAGTACTTATGAAAATTTATTTTTCCGGTGGAAAAAATTAAGGGATCAAAAAAATCTTGATTTTGCGATTTTTTGAGTGGCTGTATCTTTGGTAAAAATGGTCGTACGTAAATGAAAAAAAAGCAATTTGAAGCTTGACGTATCTAGTTTATGGATTTTGCAATATAAAAATTTTCCATCCAACAATTAGCACAAAATTCTGATGAATATCATGGATAGAACATTTTTGAAATTTTTTTTCTTTTTTAATTTTTAGTATGCGGACTTGAAAAAAATATTCTCGATATAACCACTATATGCATTTGATAGGTGGATCAGTTAGCTTCAATTTTTTTTTTCTATCGCCTCGAGATGACCCTTCCTTGCTGAGTTATCAGAAAATGAACGAAAATGCGTCATTTCCTCTTCCCTCATCAATATCTCAGGTACCAATGGCCGCTCAGAAAATGAAAGGGGGGTTTTCAAACTTCGATTCATTCTCTACAAGATTCTGGCATGCTCTTTCACGATAAAAAAAGTTTTTCATCCCTAGCATGACTTTGAAGAATTTCGGAAAACAGGTTTTTTGAGGTTTCTTAGAAACTCACGTGCCACATTGAGAATATACAGCAACTCGAAAAATCGCAAAAATCGAGATTTTTTTTTGATCCCTTAATTTTTTCTACTAGTGTAATATACTCAATGAGACCTTTAAAATGGTATATTACACGATATTGTTCGGTTAGAAATAAACGAGATAGAGACTGTTTTAAAAATTCAACTTTTTTTTAAAAACGTCCTGTGGTTCACCCAATACCGACGCGATATGTATTCTGCGTTAGCCGGCGGATTTATTTAAGTTTTTTTATCATTCTAAAATTACGCATTATACAATATGCTGACTCATTATATTTTGTTTTGATTTCAATCTAAACTATGGTAAATCTTTTTAAAATAACACTAATTTTAACATGGCAATTCAACATTTTAAAATACCTGTTATAATTATACATATTTCATGTTTTTATCCATTATAGCTAATAAATTTTATTAACAATGAAGAAAGCTCATATTTGAATATCACATGATTTTCACATTTTTATCCGATTCAAAGGAATTTTCTTTTTTCATAATTTTTAATAGAATAATGGAAATTTTACTTCAGTTTACAAAAACGTTCCGCTATATTTTTATATCATTTCACTCTGTAGGATAGTTTGTAAAATTTTTCACGTTCTAACCATTGTGAATTATCAAAATTATAGAATGGTTCATTTTAATTTAGATAAACACATAAGACATTTATTAAATAATCTTAACGTCTTTTGTACAATCTCAATTATAGTTTCTATGCATATTATAAAATTTTTACTTCTATGCATCATCCTAATCTTAATCGCACATATTTTTGTTTCACAACACAGCGATTGTCCAAACAAGGTAAAATACTAAAATCAAATATTTTTTGTGTTTAGAACTCTTTAATAAAACCAATTTGTCTCGCTAAACCATATTACTTTTGAAATGTTTATGATCCATGGTTAACAAAAGTCAATTTTGGGTATTTTTGGGTAATAAACCCATCCATTCAATGAATGAAAATCTACCTGGGTACCTAAGGAAAAGTTATATTTCTTCTATTTATAATTCTAAAATCTTTCTTTCTAGAATGCACTGTTAATTTTTGAAATATCCTAGTTTTAATAAGAATATCTACACTTTTCTAAATAATTTAGATTAAAAAGTTTAACAAGGTTCTAAATTCTTACTTTTGTCAAATTTTAACAGACTGTTAAAAAAATTGAATTGTATATTATTCAAACAGCTAAATTTTTCAAGCTTTAACAAATTAAATGAGCATAAAATCTTTTTGATTTAAATTCTCTTTCGTTGTATCTGATCTAAGTGGATTTTGCAATATTTGTTTTTAGAATTTATTAGGTTTCATATATTTTTCCCGACATGTCTAACTGATAATTAGTTGTCTGCTACTTAAGTACCGATTATTGGAACAAAGACCCATAATGTGTGGTTTGAACTTGCGACCTAATTGTAAGTTTTTATTTATAAAACCATTTGAAATAATAAGTTCAAATTTTGTTTAAATTTAATAGTAATTATACCAAATAATAACAATATTGGATAACAATATGTAGTAGAACACCGATTTTCTGCATAAAAGCGACTTGTTTATTTAAATTTACAATTTTCTTGTTAATCTTTATGAAACGCTTTTATCACAAACTATAAATAAATAATTCTGCTTTTCTTAGAACCCGTGCGACACTGTTATAACAAGATGGGATTTCCAACTAGATTCAATTTTCTGTACAGCTATTATAAAGTTATTACCAAATTATTTGAAAAATCTGCGATTTCTCGCGTTTTTTATTTTTTCAAATTTTTCTCTTTTTCTTTTATTGTATTGTCCCTCTTAATTTCCTATTCTTTATTAATGTTTTTATTGACTTTTTTATAATTTATTTTATAATAATGCGCAACCGGTCTATTTCGCTTAAATTTTGCCCCTACACCAAATTTTGCTCCTAAAAGAAAGACTTATCCGCCAAAATTTCAAAACTAAATACACTAATACTTATTTCTCTTTTTCTACTTTCATTGCTTAGTCTTTCTCAATTTACTCTTTCTATATTCCCAAATACCTTTCTATAATTTTTTTTAAGACACCAAGGGCCTCATTCGTCAAATTTAAAAACATTATTACACTAAAAAAACAATATACAAGATACTGATTCATACTTTTAATTACAGATAACCACTATACACTCCTATTAGGCCTCGTGAGTGTCCTGTTCGGCTTCAGGAATACGATGGGAGCACCTGTAGAGAGTAGAGATTTTGATCCTTGGTGGACGCATCCTTGTACAGGAGTAGTGCACCTCAGGCACGCAAGGAGTGGCAGGAGTAGAGTCGAAATCGAATTCAAAATACTAAACAATAATATGCAGAATACGTGGGAAAAAATGCAAGCACTGTATCAGCAGCAAGTAAGTTAGAATAAAATTAGAAAATTTTAAATGTGTTTCTTCAAAATTTGTTTTTTTTTTAATTTATTCAGACTAAAATTTGAACATTGTGATATTTTTCAGAATATTAATAAAACTTAAATATTATTTTCAAAAAATTTTAATAATATTAATTTAAACTCTATGTAATACCAAAAGAGACTTTTTCTAGTTTTACTATACAGCAACAGTGTTATATCTATTACATAGGTAAACCACAATTTTTAATGACCGTGAGTCAACATTTTACTTTCAAGTGTCGAAACTTCACTTTTTACAACCGTAATTGAACTGTAGAATAATTTTTCTAATTGTATTTTTTTTTGTTTTCAGCAAGTGCAAAGCAATATGCGAAGTAAATGTCCCAGAATGAACCTCGTCCTAGCTCTGTTGAATAACAGAACGAAAAAAGGCAATTTTAGACGACAAGTAAGTAATAATTTTCATAAAAGATTTTCTTCATTTTCAATACATTTCTGCTGTAGTATCGGTCTTCTAATGTATCCAACAGAATTTGATTTCGGTCTGTTTCTTCCTTCTTTAAAAAATTCCCTAAAGGAAAGATTAATATTTTGGGTCAATCAATCTTAGATCAATCTTAGATCAATTTTTGATCAATCCTATATCAATCTTAGATCAATATTAATTAAATCAATCTTAGATTAATTTTAGATCAATTTTAGATCAATTTTAGATCAATTTTAGATCAATTTTAGATCAATTTTAGATCAATTTTAGATCAATTTTAGATCAATTTTAGATCAATTTTAGATCAATTTTAGATCAATTTTAGATCAATTTTAGATCAATTTTAGATCAATTTTAGATCAATTTTAGATCAATTTTAGATCAATTTTAGATCAATTTTAGATCAATTTTAGATCAATTTTAGATCAATTTTAGATCAATTTTAGATCAATTTTAGATCAATTTTAGATCAATTTTAGATCAATTTTAGATCAATTTTAGATCAATTTTAGATCAATTTTAGATCAATTTTAGATCAATTTTAGATCAATTTTAGATCAATTTTAGATCAATTTTAGATCAATTTTAGATCAATTTTAGATCAATTTTAGATCAATTTTAGATCAATTTTAGATCAATTTTAGATCAATTTTAGATCAATTTTAGATCAATTTTAGATCAATTTTAGATCAATTTTAGATCAATTTTAGATCAATTTTAGATCAATTTTAGATCAATTTTAGATCAATTTTAGATCAATTTTAGATCAATTTAGATCAATTTTAGATCAATTTTAGATCAATTTTAGATCAATTTTAGATCAATTTTAGATCAATTTTAGATCAATTTTAGATCAATTTTAGATCAATTTTAAATCAATTTTAGATCAATTTTAGATCAATTTTAGATCAATTTTAGATCAATTTTAGATCAATTTTAGATCAATTTTAGATCAATTTTAGATCAATTTTAGATCAATTTTAGATCAATTTTAGATCAATTTTAGATCAATTTTAGATCAATTTTAGATCAATTTTAGATCAATTTTAGATCAATTTTAGATCAATTTTAAATCAATTTTAGATCAATTTTAGATCAATTTTAGATCAATTTTAGATCAATTTTAAATCAATTTTAGATCAATTTTAGATCAATTTTAGATCAATTTTAGATTAATTTTAGATTAATTTTACTATGATATATTAAATAGTTCTGTTAATTTTTTAAGTGCGGCTTGTTTTTTACTCTATTTTTAATATTTTGCAATGTACATTCCATATTTCTGGGTACAGTTTAAACTGTTTAATTAACAGAAGAGTTTCTTCCCTGTTCCAAACAAGGCGTTCCTCCATTTTTGCAAAAAAATCAGTATTTCAATTCACATTAAAAAAAAAATCAACATTTAAAATAGTTTCACAAAATTTCACTACTTGTTGCAAATATTTCGAAACAGTCTCGAAATAAAAAAGTGCAAACTAATTTGCTTAGATTAGCAGTGTACACTACAAGCTCTAACAAGTTGGCAAGTATTTGGCCCGAGAGTAAACTGTCAGCAAAATTTCTCTAGCGCTGCTGTTTAAACGCATTGCAAGTGACTTGTGAGAGTACTCTAGGCAAATTTAATTGCTAGTGGACACGAGCCTTTAGATCAATCTTAAAACAAGCTTAAAACAAGCTTAAAGCAATATTAAAACAATAATAAAACAATAATAATAAAACAATCTTTAATTTTCATAAAATAATCTTAGATCAATCTTGGATCAATTTTAGATTAATCTTAGATCAATCTTAGATCAATCTTAGATCAATCTTAGATCAATCTTAGATCAATCTTAGATTAATCTTAGATTAATCTTAGATTAATCTTAGATTAATCTTAGATCAATCTTAGATTAATCTTAAAACAAGATTAAAACAAGCTTAAAACAAGATTAAAACAAGATTAAAACAAAATTAAAACAATATTAAAACAATATTTAAACAATATGTAAACAATATTAAAATAATATTAAAACAATATTAAAACAATATTAAAACAATATTAAAACAATATTAAAACAATATTAAAACAATATTAAAACAATATTAAAACAATATTAAAACAATATTAAAACAATATTAAAACAATATTAAAACAATATTAAAACAATATTAAAACAATATTAAAACAATATTAAAACAATATTAAAACAATATTAAAACAATATTAAAACAATATTAAAACAATATTAAAACAATATTAAAACAATATTAAAACAATATTAAAACAATATTAAAACAATATTAAAACAATATTAAAACAATATTAAAACAATATTAAAACAATATTAAAACAATATTAAAACAATATTAAAACAATATTAAAACAATATTAAAACGATCTTACAAAAATCTTAAATTTTCATAAAATAATCTTAAAACAAACTTAAAACTATTTTAAAATAATATTAAATCAATTTAGATAAAACACTTTACAATGTACTTTTTCTTGTCAATTATTCACACATGCTCTGCGTAAATCTTTTACTTCCTTTAGGCATCCTTGACTGGGCCTTTCACATCTTTTTCTTCCTCCTGGGTTCCATTATAACATTGAATCCTTTTTCTACAGATCCTATTTATCTTCCCTTGTTTACAGAATCTGATGAATCTGTATTCTTATTGATCCCATTTGAATTTAGAACTTTCGTCTAGCCTAGTAATAAGAGGGAGACAATTTGTTAACATTTTTTGTGCTATAGTAAAATTCTTTTTAGTATTCTATTAAGACTGATCTAATTATTTTCATTTGAAAAACTTTGTTAACTTTGTTACTTGTCTTGGGAATTTGTATTTTTGTTAATCAGTTTCAATTGGAGTAACATAAAATTTCTAAGATTGTCAGTGATTAATAACAGTTTCTAATTAATTTTTTTTTATTCCAGGCTAACCACATATTCTACCAGTCAGTCGTAGAACTTAGTAAGTTTGTCAACCAAGTGAAACAAATCCCCATCAATACAGAAGGTAAACTCAACCTGGAGAAACGTAGGGACATCTATGATGACATTGAGCTGAATCTGAGGAGCTTCCTGTGCACCTACAACGAAAGCATTAGTCGAATGCGTGTCCCTCCAAATATGCCAACAAAAAAGATCAGCAATCTCCTATCAACGAGGTGCTTGCCGAAATCCATGGATCTCACCAGAGCCCAAATGTTTGATTATGATCTAATTAAGAAATTGAAGAGATTCTTTAATCAAAGCTCAAAAAAGCTTGATAAAATAAAGAAGAAAAATAGAACGTGGAAGAAACAGGAGTTAAGAAAGAAACAGGAGATGTCGAAAAGGAAGGAGATGCGAAAGAAACAGGATATGCAGAATCACGTGTCCAATTTCAATCACAGAAATAACAAAAGGACTAACCTAAAAAAAGATAAAAAAGTGCGCCAGACTATTGTGTTTTAAGTTAAATCTGTGATTGGTATTGGTATATTTGTTGTGTAAAGAAAGAAAAAATTCTGTGATATTAGATTTAAGATAACGTTTTTAATTTATTCTATTTATTCAGTATGTTAGGGATGCTATGTTCTCAAAAAAATATAAAATACGCTTAGAAACCGAAAAATTCAGGAAATATATTTGACAAGGTCTGCATCAACGCGAATAGAATTATTATAGATAAATAAGTAACCGATATTTTTGAAGCAATAAGAAAAATTAAATAATTTATAATTTTACCATTTCTCGAATTTCGGTAAATTATTATCGACGAATAATACTTTTTCTACGACAATATTTAAATAAATTAATATTGTTTTTGAATTTATTAATAAAAGGCAATACATATTTCGCAATACTAAGTAAGAATTTTATTATTTTTGTTCTGTTTTTAAAAATACTTTCAAAAACAATTATTTATATAAAAGAGTCGTATAAAAAATACAGATGTAGACTATTTAGTTCCTTTTTGGTGTATTTTTCTCTATCGGTGGTACTTGTGGTACTCATACTCACCGATGTTGTATTATATGATGTGATATATTTGAATAGGCTTGCATAAAAATATTTTTTTATTAAATTTGTTTTATGTTTATAAGTAAACTAAAAAGAAAATTTTTCTTCGTTCAGGAATTAATTTTTATGCGTGCAAGTATTAGTATTTTTACATTACGAGGGTCATGAGAAAACTTTTGCCTAAATATACGAGGTGCGGTCTAAAATTTTACGAACTTTTTGAATACTAGATGTAGAAATAATATATTTTTTTATGATCTCAATAGGTGTTATACAATTTTAATATATATGTTTAAGAATCTTAAATTTGGAAACTATGTAGAAAATTATTACCCAGATCTTAATTTGCTGTTTTTAAATCATTTAGAGCTAAAAATATTTTACTACATCAAGTGCAAAATTAAAAAAACTGAAACAATAATTTTTAAATAACTTTATTATATTAAAAGGTAGCTACAACTAGATCATATCTCAATAACTTGCACACAATTTTCCTCATGTCCCTCGTAACTAGAGACTGAATTTTTGCCTTATTGTAATAATTAGTATTAGCGAATAAAAATCAGTCTCACTATTGTGATTACATATATGTATATTGAAGTCGAATATACAAAATTTCTGTCCCAATTTGACAGTATTTGAAATTTTTAGTATTTTTGTTTTTTTTTTTTTTACTTTTTTTTTGTCTAATTTAATCATGTTATCATTCCAATGTATTTATTTTATTTATTACCATTTTCATTCCATTTTATTTATTTATTGAAATAGAAATTAATTGTGAATATTTTTTTTTGACAATTTTTTTCGCAATGAAATTATGTAAAATGTTTTCGTAAATAGTACGACACTCTAGTATGTTTTTTATTTATTGTATTTATTTTCAAAATTTTCTCTTTTGTAATATGTGATAAATTTGTAAATATATATTGAGTTTTAAAAATGAATGTGTTTCATTGCTGGTGTTACTGACCTATCCCAAAAACATTCTAGGTGCAAGTTATTATCATAGATAATAAGTGTTATCGAGGTAAGTAATACGTCAAAAATGTACAATTTTATCTTTTAAAAATTGAAAGTAAAATGTATACATTATTTAAATGAAATATTATTTCCAATACAAGTAAAACTAACACAAATAATTTCATTATTTTGTATTTACCATGGAATAACAATTTTGAAACAAAAATATTAAATGAAATATTTGAAGTTCAATAAAAAAAATATATACAGGGTATCCCGAAATTAGACGGTCATGTTTTAACAGTCTAATCTACATCCTTAAATAGGAGTAAAAGTTTATATAAACATAGGTCCGAAAACGTTATGTTTCCGAGATACAGGGTGTTAAAAGTGAAGTCCTGATAACACATTTTTGTAAATATTTTCTATACTTTTAATGATAACGAAGTGAAATTTGGTACAAATGCTAAAATTTTTACGTTCTATTTAATGAACTAAACGCCAGTTTTTGATCATCTTCATAGGTGGGTAAATTAGAGGAGGGGCTTAGGGTTAATTTGTCCTAAGTTTTTTTTGTTGACTGTTTTAAACATGTTTGACTACAAAATTTGGAAAACCAAAATTTTCTTTATAATAAAGTTACTTTTGCTGTATATCGATAGGACGCACCATTTTCAGGAGACAAGCATTTGAAAATTTCATGATAAGTTAATATATCTTATTCGAAAGTGTAAACAATAATTAGTAGGCCTGTGGAATTAGAAATTTAATTTTTTTAACTTTTAAAAATTAGATTACGCTGTTAAAATATGACCGTCTAATTTCGGGACACCCTGTACATATATAGGCTGGCACTTTTTTGTTTTCAAAACATGTAACACCCATCGTTGGGAAACTTCATTATCTGCTGCAATTAGTTTTTAATTTAAATAAAAAAGCTACATGCTTATCTGGATCACCCGGTATAGTTTTTGTGAAATTTTCAGAAAATACCAACAATAACAAAACTTAGGGTGGGAAACCTTGATTTTTTTGTAAACCCTCAAAAACTATTTATTTTGAAAATGATTAAAAGAAATTTCAAAAAAACATTTACGCGCCTGTTTGTATTAAATCTATGTTATGTTGAGAATGGGGTGTTAATACACTGCGACCTAAAAGATATATTGTGTCCCCTTCTGTCGCTAATGCACCAAGAAAATGTCTCAATGCCTATAACGACCCTTCCAATCCTATCTTTTCAAGGAAGCGTAGGATTTGGAGTGGCTTCAAGTTAAGTGAATCTGCCTGTTCTATTTGATATCCTCCTAGGATTTTAGAGTGCTACACATTTAGTTAGAATGTGAATGGATATTTCGTCGTCCTCACAGAATCTTCACCCACTATCATCTACTAATTTCAGTTTACTAGGGTGTCCTTTTAGTCGGCAATGCCCGGTAAGGATCCCTGTTACAATACGTAGCCTGTTCTTGCTCAGGCAGATGCGGGCTTCCGATCTTTTCTGGTTATATTAACCCAGAAATATCTTAGCCTGTCTCAGCCTCAAGAGATTGTTGGTTCTTCTACTGCCCAATTCTTTTTTAATCTCTCCTAATATTATGTTACTGCTGATACCGCAGAACGGCTTAGGTCCTACAAAGGGTGTTTGAGCTCCTTTCCTTGCAAGACTATCTCGTATTAAATCTATGAAAGTTTGTTGATTTTTGTTTTAATATCTATTAGTGTTTAAATGGGACGATTTATTCTTAAACGTCTCTGTAGAGTTCTGCCTCATCGCTGCATAAATTTAAAGCTCTCAATATTCTCAAGACACATAATATATTAGAAAATCCTTAAAACTATCTTATTAAAATTTTAAATTTTTCTTTTAAACCGTTTTTAAATTATCTTCAAAATTCGAAACTTGCATATTTTCTCACATATCTCGAATATGGTCTATTTTAAAGAAATTATGTATAAAGCAAAATTATAGAAAATGACATCAGAAGCAAGTTCTATTTGAACAATTTTCTTACAAGTTTGAATTTTGTACAATTTCTCAAATTTCTCGAATACGAATCATTTTAGGAAAATTATACAAAGAACAAAAATTACAGAAGCACCCAACTTTTATTTGACAAATTTTCTTCTACAAGCGTAAATAAAGGATATATTCCATTAAGTATAAAACGAACCCCTATAAAGTATCTCACTGATGTTACGACTATGCCCAAAATCTATCAACTCACTCCAGGATGAAAATATATTTATTAAAAGTTTTTTAGCACCAAAAAAGCTAGGTTAGTTCATAAAATTACAAAATAATATAGATAAGTGCCTAAAATTCATAAAATGTTACAGAAGATACCACAAATTCAACATTTAAAAAATTGAAGAATGAAAGATTTTCTATTTTCTCAAAATGTGGTCAATAGTGAAATGGGAAAAAGCTCGATAATTATAGGCGAAGAAAAGTAAAGATAATGTAATTTTCTTTAGTTTTAATGTGTTCATTTAAGCATGTAACATTAAAGCCCTCAATAATCATGTTATAAAATATCGAAATGTCTTGTTTATACTTGTTACATACTATGATACTATGATGATAAGATATAATATATTAGTATAGGTTTTAAATTAATAAATAGATACTAGTTTCAAAAGGACTTTCTTGTACAATATTGAAACAATCTCCAAATAACTACCAATAATGTTACGTGTTTAAAAAAACAAATTCAAAAAGAAAACGACATTTTTCTTACCCTTTATCATTGATAATTATTCAATTTGCTCCTATTCCATAGTAGTGGAACATGTTAGAGTCTAAACGATGCACTTTTTTTTTACAGTGGTTTGGTCATCCGTGAGCTCTTTCAAATATTTGTTGGTTGATCCATTTTAAATTTTTTATATCTCTCTATGTAGCTGTTGTGTAAGTCTATTTAATGTGTTTTTGTTCTCTTCGGTTCTCATTTTGAGCCTTTCTTTTGTGTTGTATTAAATCTCTTATATTTTGAGATAATTAATACCTATAATTTTCCTTTGTATTCATGGTGTGTTATTCAATACAGCTTATTGGATATTGACCATAAATAATATCATTTCTGAATTCAATTTTTTCAGCAAATTCAAGTTGAAATCTTTCCCAGTCTGTATGTTTGTTCGTCAAAGTGGGATTGAAAACACGTTGTAACAATGTTATCTACCTGACAACACCGCAGGTTTTTTATTATGTAACGTCACTGCCTTTTTATCATAAATATACTTTATTTTGTTTGTTAACCGTTTTTGTAATTTCCCTCTCACTTGCTGGTTCAATTTCTTTCTATGCTTGATCATGGCAATGCGAGGTTAAAACAAGTTGCGCCTTAAAAAAACTTTATCAATAAAGTTATGATGATTAAAACACAGAGTACTTTTGATTGTATCTAAGCTAATGCTGATAGTAATCACAGTGTATTTATTTACCGCATGGTGTCAGCACGCGAAAAGTCGCATCATCGAACGGATTCGTAAGAAATATATCACGTTTCCAAACCTCTGCCGGGTCGGACCCGGCTAGACATTTTAAATCTATCAAGAGACGAATTTCCTGCAGTTCGATGTGACTCACTCGAAAATCCTCGTCAGCGAAAGGAGACTCACCCGAAATTTTTATTATTTCGGGTTAATCGCGTCTAGAAACGAAAAGGTTTCGTAGTGATTAAGTTTTTACAGAAAGCAGACGATAAGTGGGTGAAAACGGGGTGAAATTTGATGATTTACAGTTACGGATACGAGAGATGTAATATGTAATAAAGGTTTTCTATTTAAAAGTAATTTAACAAAAGGACATTGCTAATTTGAAATGCAAATTGGTATTTTGTAAAAATGCTGCTTACAATTTTACTCTTTAAAATTTGTTTTCCCTACTTAAATTGTCTAGCTGCATCTCTAATATACCATACAATTTCAACAATTTCTTGTATAGTGTACTATTTAGAATTAAACACAATAACAGTATTTTTTAAATAAATTAATAAAGATAAACTGAAATAAATTAAACGTCATGAATTGTAACAGAGAAATAGAGATACCAAGGATCAGGTCGTACTATACGAAAACGAAGATTGACTTAGAGCAGGGGTATCCACTTTCCAGCCACACTGATTACTCCAGTAAGAGCCAAAACCGTTTTAATTTTTCTGCAATTATCTATAATTTCTTCACTAGTGGCCCAGTACGCGCCCTGAGCTAGCATACGCTTTCTAAATTCACTAGTTGAATTACTATTGTGTATTGTTACGACCGTGACAATTGACGAAATCGCTATAACTAACAGATGGCACTAGTAGTACTATCAAAATCGCAGTAACAAACATTCATGAATAACCTCAGTGGTTCGAGAAAGTCCTGGTGTATTCCACTCACTTCGAGATGTAATGCAAAAAATCTCTGCTGGAGCTCAAGACTTACTACAACTAAAGGAAAAGAACTAAACGAGACTATCAAAGATCAGGGGCCCTATTCTCAAATGTCTATTAAAAATGTCGCATTAGTCATAATGTCTACTGCTAATGTCTATTAAAATATCGATCGACTGACACTATCCGTATTCTCAAAGTCAAATAGAGATTTTAAAATCGGTGACATATTTGGCGAATGATAACATCTGAAAACATTGGATAGAAATATACAATACGAGTATATTACAGTAGACAATTACTTACTGGGCCCCGCTTCAGCCTCTTTTTCGACCTTTTGCCTTATAGTCAATGAGGAGAACGCATAGCTCATCCTCATTGATTTGGCCGTTAGGGTTCCCATGTCTTCGTCTCCGATGCCGAAGAAGAAAATGATAGCCCTTAGAGTCTTTTTTGATTTCATGGTGGAAGGTGCACCATT